CATTCCTCTGTGTGTGCTCTTTCGTTTTATTTGCGATACCAGTGATGTGCAGCGACATCCCGACAGCGAGACGATCGAAGAAACGATCTTTCAATCTGTCGACATGCATTCTGCGTCCGTAAATGCTTTATAGAGCGGGAAATATTAAGCTTAAGATCTGTCTAGAACAATTTCGAAAACCGAAGCTCGACAATAGACAAATAACGTCCTTCGGTATTAACGATAACAATCGATCGAATTCGATTGTGGCAATATATCGCGGAATCAGTAGATCTCGTAGATATCAGTAGATTTGAAAAAAAAAAAATGTATTTATTGATTCTCCAGATACACGTCGACGTTCTTAATTTATTGCATGCGTCTTCGAGGAGAATTTGACGAGGGAGGAGCGAGGTGGAGAGTTCGCTGTTTTCTCAGAGTTCGTAAAATTTCATCGAAACGGCCGAAGACGACGATCTACGTTTTAATGAGCGCCCTTTCCCGTCCCCTTTTTTTGCAAGTCACTTTCGAATAGATTTTTATCAAAAATATATATATATCTATATATCTGTGTATACATTTGTCTCACGCCTGTTTCTCTTTCCATTTCTCACTTTTGGTCCACGGCGTCGATCGCCCGCCCAACGCTCGAGTCTTACGTACGGATATTCGAACGATCAAGGAATTCTTGATGGTTCGGATATGGAGTCGTTGGGCCGCCGGTGTCCGCCGTCGGAGTCGATCATATCGATACTTTGTCCCCCGGCTCGTCATCTACGATCGCACGAAATTTTTCCGAGATTTTGATAATCGTTGAGATCGTCCACCGGTATTCGCGCTTCCTCCTCTCTCCTCCTCGTTAATTTTCGCCTCGAATAGTCGACGCTGACGCGACTATTGAACGGAGATCAGTCTTGAACGATCTGCGTTCTGTTATTATCTCGAATACTTGGCGCGGACTTAGGAAACTTGTGGTCCTTCAAAAAACAGCATATAAAACGTTCTCGATAAAAAACTCCTAGACTGGAAAGATTATGTTTCTCGAGTCTTATCTTCGGCAGTTGCAAGTTACGTTTACGAGGCGATTTACACTTCCATCGATCGACGAACAAAAGACACTTACGGTAAAAAATAACGTGCGGGATCGAACTTTCACTCATCATTCGTAATCGAAAATTAAGCAACGAATTCGTCGATAATTTTAAGGATTCGTTTCCCTCTCGCTTAACTTCGACTTGAGGAGAATTTGGTTTCAGGTTCGATCGAGCACAAGCTTTTTTTCTTCGTTTGATGTAATTTTTTGATAAATTCGTAGATGTTTAGCATTCGGATATCTATCTTGATTGCCGCGGTCGATTAAAGTGCAGAGCCTCGGTATTATTTTTCATTTATTGCTCCTAATAGATGTATGTGGATTGCATGTATGCGTGTTTATATGCATGGAGGAAGTTCAATTGGTGCTGTCGAATCTGTGTAATGATGTAACGTGTATGTGTCGGTTATGTGTACATATCTCATAGATAAAGGGGAAACAGCTAGAAAGAGATAATTTTTTTTTAAATAGATTACCGGTATTCCCTCGTCTATCCATAGGCGGGTGCATGCAATAAACACACCGAACTCTAACTACGATACTGATTTTTTCGAAGCTTACATTTCTAACTGCACGTGATTAACTCACGCGGCTCCCGTAATATACGTTCGTTCACTTCGTGGTTAAATTACCATGTCACTTAAGACCAGCTCGACAAAGATTCCGTAATACTGCGAGCGATTCCCACTCGCGCGATTACCCTACCGCAAGGGACGACTGTCAACAACGAGATTAGCATCGAGAAAGCAATCGAGTTAACTCTGAAATCGGCATTGAGGTAAAACTTGACGTGCGTATTTGATATACGTCGATATGATAGCGAACGGAAATTATCTCTTTTAGTTTATATATATTTATAAAATCTATATACGCCGTATGTCGATGTATGTGGGGAGAAGTTGGGGGGGGGGACACGTGTGAATCATGAGATTCGACATGCGTTATAACGCTTTCAAAGTTATCGCGAAGCCTCGATGAAAATGTTCCTGAGAATTTCAAGGGGGGGGATCAGTGGGGCCGCGCCTTAAGTGCTAATGGCAGTCCGGATTGTTAACACATAGCTACATGCGCGTATATTATATATCATACTTCGCTAATAAAGTAACGTTCAGTGAACCTAGCGCTAGGTAAGTTATGCGGTATGTTTATCATATAAATCATTTCATTTAATTTTCATATTCGTTATCGCAATAATTCCTACACCAGGGAAAACATCGTTAAACATTATCTCTCGCCTAATATTATTCTTTTTCTTTTCTCGTCACTCTCTTTCTTTCATTCTCTTGCGCTCAGTAATAATTAATAATCTTCTTTTTCATTACTAATTTATTATTTCTTTCTCTCTCTTTCGCTCGCTCTCTCTCTCTCTCTCTCTCTCTTTCTTTCTCGCTTTATGTCTTTCCACGTTACGCCTTCGTCGTCTAATATTTTATTCAGCGCTCGATATAGTTATTTCATATTAGAAAAATTTGTACTCTTATAGGGGAGGTATCGAGGGATACAGCTGCCTCGCTGTTGTTTTATATTTTCCATGATTCAAGGGAACATCTTACCCAGTCTCGCATGTGTCACTTTCTAAGTCGAGTAACAGCCTCTCGCGATCTAACCGAGTCGTGCAATATCGCGCAGAACGTGCATCGCGTTCGCGCACTTTTTTCCGTCCTTGTAAAATGTCCCAATTCGTGTCAGATGTTAGCCAGGTAACCGAACGAAGCACACGACGTGTCCAATCGCAAGGATAAGACTGATACAAAAAATTACATGGTAAATAAATCGTCAGATTCCTTAATTCTTATTTTCAGTTATCCTGATATATTAAAAATAAGATCCAAGGGTTATGATTACATCTAAAAATTGCTAAATTTTTCCCTGAATCCCTTTTGGGATATGAAATAAGATAAACGAAAGTATACTTGCGCGCAATGATTTTTATATGCGATAGAAAATGTCGACTTTTTTACCAATTGCATACATCGCGATTGAACAGCCGCGGGCTACGTCTCGTCGTTTTTTTTTTTATATCCTTGATGAAATTGATGTGGTCGAACGAAATGGAAAACTCAGTGGTTAACTGGCGAGAAATCGGGTGAAGAGCTCGATAAGGGATGATCGGAAAACGAAGTAGGATGGGTCAATTTTTCAGGCGATGGTTAAAGATCCTTGCAAACCGCACAATCACTCTTCTCTCATTCACGACCGCTAAACTGAGTCACGATTGCGTTCACGTAGCCTTGCTCGCGAGTTCCATCTGCCAATCTGTATTTACCATTTTAGCGATGGAAGAATGCGCGGACTCTTTACGAAGTCGCGACGCGATCCCATCGTGACTCCGACTAACAAGGGAACCCCTCTCGAGGTGTCAAATTCTGATTTTAATGAAACTTTGTGAACTTGTAGCTTACATAAAGAGATGAATGAAACATAAAGAGGTGAAATCACCCCTTCAAACCGTTTTTTAGCCGCAACTGATATTTTCTAAATTCATCTCTTTATGTAAGCTACAAGTTTCACAAAGTTTCATTAAAATCAGAATTTGACACCTCGAGAGGTCCCCTTGTAAGCTACACGAGAATGGGAAATAGCTCCATTAATGCATAAGTATACGCGTGTGTATATATATGTTTACCACGTGCAAACGTACCTACAGATAGGATTTGATACGAACTACGACGTCTAAAAAGGAGTCCCCTTTTCTATTTGCGAAAAGGACTGGTTAACCGTGAGCGATTCTAAACCCCGTCAAATTTCTTCGATCAAACCGTACACCGCTAGTGGTAATATGTAATATGTATTTACCGTTATCGCTATCACGCTATTATATGTACGTGTACACGTATATATTCATTATGTGCGTATATATGTATGTATAATATTACCCAAAACCGTCGTTACGACCGCCTTTTGTAAGTTTCCATCGAAAAAAGCTCCGACCTCGCGCGACCTCAGCTTCAACGTTTCCCTCCCCCTCGTTGCCTTCCTATTTACGGTAAAAATTCGCATAGATCACCGACATCCATCGGTCACGAATTCCAAAAGCTCGCGTGAATCCGCGCTCGTCGCTCAGTGTGATATCGCCAATTGTTCGTTTTTCTGATTGTTTCGCCCTCTTTTTTTCATTTTTTTTTCTCTCTTCTCGACCGAAAATCATAGGAAGGCGAACGAGAGTCATAGGGCAGGGCAGTAAGACATGGAAAGGCTATCGCAATTCACTGTTTCTTTCGTTCTTTTCATCTTTTTTATCGTTCGTAGCCATCTCGCTTCTCTTTTTCCTCTCCGTCCTTCCTCTCTTTTTCTTTTCTCCTCTCACCGCCCTCGGGAAAAAAAGAAATAGATCTGAACGTCCGCGATGGGAGATAAAACAGGAAATCGGAAAGAAGTCTGGTGTGCGATGTTCCATAAGACAGGGACGTTTACGTCGTTCGAAGTCTCGATTGCACGCGGAATGGAAAGAATTCACTCGTTAACCGGGACTCCAATGACGACGAAGTCGACAGCGATACGGTAAAGAAACGTTAGACTGTCCTTAAGTGTTCACTAGCTGTATATCCGTCAAACGCGTAGCCAATTACGGTTCGTCACAGTAACGACTTCGAGAAAACACGAACAAATCTGATTTCCGTGGACGACATTCGTCGTAAAATACAATGATTATGAAGCAGATAATCGAATAACAAAATGATAAATAAGAGAGAATAGCGCGATTAATTTTATTTTATTTTATCTCACGTTCTATTTCACGATTATGAAATTGTATTACAAATAAGCCAATCGTAAGCTTTATCATCGACTTTCTTCAAAGTACGCAAAAATTTTTGCTATTTAGTTTCACGATAATATTTGATAATTTTTGGAATTATGAGCTTTCTTTGGATCACAATTTTAAAAAATTATGAAAATTTCTTTGTAATCTTTGTTCGATATAAAAAAAGAAATAAGACATAATGCAATATCATGTATGTGTACGTAAGAAAGAAGAAATAAAAAAAGTCTCGAAGTGCACGCGCAGTCGTCAGAAGTCCTCGCTGTGCCTTAAACTCTATTATAAGTTTAATCTCTGCACTACAAATAATATCGGACGTTGATTTCCGATGGAGAGCGGCAATTTCTTTTTACGCGTCCACTTCACTTCCCTCTCTCTTTTTATCTCTCTCTCTCTTTTTCTCTCTTTCTTTCGCTTCCTTCCGTAGAAAAACACCAGACTTTTCGTCACCTTTCACCCCTTTCCACAAACTTCCCGTTCGGTTGTCCCGTTTGGTCCGCACTACCAGCATGATTATTCGCTTTTGCATCGCAAAATGCTTGTGTCTACTATGATTTCTTTTTTTTTGGATCGCTTCCATGCCTGCCGTCCGATCGGTTTCTCTCCTCTCGATTCGCTTAATAACTAAGTAATACGGCTAAGTGTCTAAAACTACGCGCGGCCTCCGAATGAGGTCTTGCCGCGTCCTCGTTCCGACACGAGGGCGGATCAAAGTGTGATTATAGAGGAGCATACTCTATATATCTATACGGGATTACTTATCAAGGTTACATCGACGACACACCCTGCACGGTTACGTTCGAGTGTCTCGCGTTCGCGACGACGCGAAGCTTCGCGATCGATCGTGCCTGAGCGGATCATCGGGCAGGGACTAGCTTTCTCAGAAGATCGTTTCGATGCGGCACGATCGTCGATCTCGTAGCGCTCTATTTTTGTTCGACTTTTATTCAGTTTACGTTTTCTGTTCTTTATCCCTTGTTACGGAAGGTTTACCGATCTCTATCCGTATCAGAAGGGCTAAGCAGAGGCGAATCTTCGATTACTTCCGAACCCTTCTCGATATCTACTCGATACTAACATAGCGTTGCGCGTTTCCGAAATTGCCGACGAATTGCTTGCCTTAAACTAAACTTAACAATGTCTTAATTTTGATAAATACTACCGTGTTAATTTTCCACACGACCCTTCTCTCCGTCTTCGCGTGATCGACGTACCGATCGCTTAAAAAAATAGGGTACAAAAATTATTCATCTAAATTTATGAGATCTTACCGAATCTAAAATCGCTCCTTCGCGTATTAATTTTTTTTATAACACAGCCGAATAAAAATGCCCGAATTACCTCTAAGAAACTTATATCGAGAATCTTAATTTTTAGCGCCTGATCCGCGTTCGCTCGAGGAACGCACCGTTTTTTTTTTAATTTTCATTTTGTAAAAAAGAAGTCTACCCTTAAGATCCACCGTGAACTTAGCCCCCACTAAAAGCGCGACGACTACGAGAGCGTATGTCGATCAATTCGCGCGATCTCTCTCTCTCTCTCTCTCTCTCTCTCTCTCTCTTTCTCTCGGCCAAATTTCGTTTTGCGGTTTCTTTTTTCTTTTTTCCTTTTTCCCTTTATCTTCGCGTGTCCGCTAACTATACTAATTGTAAAGACGCAAATATTACGAAGTTCGCCGTAGTCGGGTCGGCATTACCGTCGTGATTGGTGTTGATTTACAGTGACAGCGGCGGATCTTCCCTTCTTAAAGACGACAAGAAATGTACGTCGCAGTCTTACGCGGGTACCTTATGTACGTATACAATGAAGAACATACATTCGTTATCGTCGACGTTGTTTTATGCCGTTATTTGCCTTGGGATCAGTATATTTATAAATCAATTGCGCCGTGTACTTCGCAACAGCCCGCGAAGCGTATATCGGAGGGCTAAACGTGAGTTATTTAAAATGGTACCATTCGCGCAAGTCGTACGTAAAAGAGCGCCGACTATGCTAGAAAAAAATCCAGCACGTTATTCCCGATCGTGGCGATCCATCCACTTCGCATGCGGATGTCCGATTTAAGACCGAAAGCGAAACTTTTCTGCATCGAGTCGAATAACGACTCGTCTGCAGGAGAACTTGGAAAGTTGTCACCGGGCTTAATCAAAGATCCATCACGCGCACCTGTTACCTATTAGCGTACCGGGGGGTCCTCGTGATCAAGACGACGGGCGCGAATGGCTCTCCAGCAAAGACTACTTATTCGACACGACGCTGTTTACACACATGACGCTTTATATAAGTCTACTGACTCGGAGGTTATACGGGGTGGGCTTAAAGGGGTATACATATATACGTGTATTTTATATGTATATATATACGCTACAAGTGCGATTAAATGCACGAATAGGGAGTAGCACATCCACACACCATTCAGACATCGGTTAACACCCTAAGGAAATTGGTTGCAAACGGGTACTTTTGGTATAACGGGAGGGAAGGGGGAACCTACGAACTAGCGATTAATGTGTATCCCGTTAAATTCTTAATTACGCGTATTGTCCGCGCGTCCTCGCAGCGAGCTTGTGCGCGAAAGACAATGCGTGTACCGCCCACGCGTAATCTTTCGCGGCAAGCTGCATGAAGAATCCAATAATGTTACAAAAAAAAGAAGACAAAAATAAAAGGAAAGAAAACCGATTTTGTCTTAGAAGTGCGCGACTATCCGTCGTTGATTACGAAGTTGCGATTTCGCAGTGCGCTCGTGCGTGATTTATCGTCGATCTGTTTTCTGAAATCTCTGAAGTTTCGATTGGCTCACGGCTCGCGAGAGAAAGACGATGGGAAGGGAAAAAAGAAGAAAGGGGATGTGGGAGTTGCGATCGAGAAATTGATTCTCGGGAAATACGCCCAATACGCCGAGCCGTAAACCAATTGTCTTTATCACTTCCGTCAAATGTCGCAATCCTGCGTATCGATTTGCTTTTTATTCATGTTTTCGTCCTTCACTTTCGTTCCCCCGTCTCCGCGTGTCCTCCACGTTTGTTCCATCAGCGGACATATGTCAATGGGATCGTTTTAGGCCAAGCGCCGACATCGCGCGATACCAAAGCGATGAGCTCAGACTAAGAACGCGAATCCTTGACAAATTGGACCGACTAAAACGTCAGCATCAACTCAACTGATAGGATAACACCTCCGTCGCGAGTTGTATCTCTCCCACCTGCTGCATTCTAAATAATTCGTTGGCACATCATTATGCATTTTACCTTTACAGTACTTTACAATTCTGAGTATTTCGTATCCGACTCCTTTCGTGTAAATTTTTCGCAAATTCAACAAATTGAATTATGTTCTCTCTAAATCTGAATCAGTGGATAATCAGTGATATCAGTGCCAAGTATGCCACTGGTAATCATTGAATGAAATGTGAAATTCCTAACCCAGCTAACCTTGTTTTAGTGCATAAATTCAATGATTATATTGGATATAGTATCGAAGATTGAAATTAATATGCAAATATCAATATTTTAATTATTTAATGCTCAAACTTTTTTCTTTTTTAGTTGAACTTTGCTGATTATCCAGTGCCAAGTACGACACTGGGTAATCAGTGACTATCCACTGATTCAGATTTAGAGAGTATTATATTTTATTATTTTTCAACATGTGTGTGTGTGTGTGTGGAGTTTAATTGTTTTAGAAAGTTGAAAGTATATTTGTTAACTTTTAGAGATTTTTTGAAACATTTTATTAGGTGAAAAAATAGACGGATACGACATACCTAAACTTGTACCAAGACATCGTTTGGTTTCTAATATTACAAGAGTCAATTTAAACAAACTCTTTTGAGCAAAGAGAAATCTCTCGAATTCATCACAAATACTTCACAGACTTAAATAAAAGGAAATACACGATTAAATGATTTGGTTGTTCAGTCCTATATTTGGTAAAAGTATAGTACACAGAATTTTCAATACGACGAGATCATATGCAGAGAAAGAGAATACGAATATAAAAAAATGTTACGTAATGTAGGATACTGAACTCATCGCTACAGTATAAAATAATAATGTCGCAAACGCTATTAATTAAGAGAATCCATCTTCCCCACATATTCAACTTTACGATATCTTTGAATTGTAGCTCAGAGAGACACGCAGAGGCGAGATGGTAGCGTTATACGTTAATAACAAGATTATGCTCCTATGTACATTTGTACCTTGGCCAACGTATCCAATCGACTCGATTACGGCCGAGCCCCCAGCATTCGTTTGAAAAATCCCGCAAAAAATTTCGGCCACTTCTTGATAGAGACCCACTTGAGCTAAAGCGTTCTGCCTCCCACTTAAAACGCGTTACTTTTCCACCATTCGCGTTTTAACAGCAGCGTTTCTTCGCCGCGTTATCAACAATTATCTTGCAGTAATTGTTCGCGAATCTCTCCTCGGGGGATCGAGAGCTCGGCTCCTTCAATCGTAGAACGTGAAAGACAGCCGGTGTGTGTACTATTTATGACGTCGGCGAACGATGCCCTCTCTTCCTTGTCTCACGAACGCATCCTTTTCTCTTAGGGATGTCCGGACTCGCCGGAACACCCTTTGATCTCCCACGTCGCGAGAACCTCTAAGTAAAACGGTTCTCGCGAAAGCAGTTGACGGTGGAGAGACCAGCGCGATCGATGGACATGGTGTGCATGCTAGTCGCCGACGTGAGAAAAACAAAACCGCTCTCCAGTAGCGCACTCGATAAAATTTCTTCGTCGTTCTAACGTTTCAGTATAACAATCATTAGGCAACGTACATTAATTACATCACTTACAGGATTAGCGACGGAGGTGGGAACGGATGCGGAGGGGTTGGGGGTAGATGGGAAGAGGAAGATGGACAAGATGGAATTCGATAAATCCATTGAATGTCGACGTTTATCGTCGGGGGACGAGGAGACACTACGAGATTTTGTATTCTGTGAAACTTAATCGGGAACTCGGAGAGACGCGGAGTACGAATTCTGTGGAATTCCGCGCGATCATTTCCCCCTTCGATACCGACGTTCGCTTCCGACGCGAATCCCTCCACGCTCGCGTTCCATGTCCGCGAGCAGCGTCACTATCTCTTTCTCTCGTCTCTCGCGTAAATCCAGCGTCTTTAAATAGAGCGCGAAATGAGCGCCATACGTATCGTCTCGATCCATTCTTCTCACTTTGTACGTCTTTCGATAAGAATGTAGCGTTTGTCGAGCAGGCTAGATGCCGCGATTCGATTCCCTAAATCCGCATTCCTACATATATAACTCCCTTTCCATCGTATATATTCCTCTCCCTCTATTTCTGTATCTTTCTCTTTCTGCGTCTGAAAGTATATTTAACCTGTAAAACAGGAGAGAAGAATTCGTGCTATCGCACAGCACGACCGACTTCGTGTGCTCAGATTATGCATAGAATCAGGTGTAATCTTGAGCATGAATGTACCCATGGTGGAAGAAACCCAGGTTCTGTTCTCGAAACAAATTTCATACAATTTTGCGCCAATGCCAAATACTACCATATTCAAATAGACACATTTATAGACTATACACTGCCAAAAAGAGCATTTTAAAACCTGATGTAGTTCTCACGCAGAATAGACTAAATTAATATAAGCACACATATTTAAGTAAAAGAATAATACGACGTGATGCCGATTCAAATCATCGCGGCAAGATGATGGTATCTGGCATGCAATTCTCATTGGTTAAATAGAAATGAGAACAAGTATTTATTATTCTCATTGGGTAATTAGAAATATGTATGAGTACTGGCAGACCTGAGCTTTCTTCCACCATGAGCGTATCAGACTTCGTGCGAATCTAAGAAGCCGGCTCGTATCCGCGCGACTAGCCGAGATTCGAGAATATGGTATACACGAGTTAACGTTCATTAACGAATTAACATCACAATCAAGCTATTACAGGTCGAAAGGCGCGTTAACCACCACGAAGACCACCCTCGCCTGCCGGCAAGTCTTCTTTTTTTGGCTTCGTCGATTGGTGACGGTTAACGTGCGCGAAACATGGAATTTAATTCTGAAGATCAATGTTCCCCGCTCTAAAACCGCACCCTCGACATCCTGATTGAGCGGTATGGTAACTGTAACACTCGGGTTAAGTTCGAAGAGACGGTTTTCAGCGCGGAGCCATTGGAACGCCAGGGGGTTTAAATATAACTGCTTTTCAAATAATACGTATATCTAATAATATAAACAAAACGGAAAAACTGCGATATTGTTCTCAACGCAATAAATGTTCGCGCGATCTTCCTCTAATACGGTACGTAGGTAATAGTTACACGGTTAACTATATGTGTACTTAACGTATTGCGCATTGATATAGCATACGCACGTATATATCTATGTATCTAATGTATTTACGTGTTCGCTTATCAATCCTTACCACATTAGAAGCACAAAACAAAATCTCAAACATTGCTCTTGATCTACGCTCTGTACGCGAAGTAAAAGAAGAAAATATCTGATTAACTGAGGAACGAGCTATTAAATTGAAGAAAAGCGCAAGAATTCTATAGAAGTCACTGAGGCGATTCAGTGCATTAAAAAAACTAAGAAGTCTGCTCTTGGAGACATTTTGGACACCCCTTAATGAATTCGAATCCGGACGATTCGTTAACTATATAACGCTAAATAGAAATGTCAAATAAAATACAAATGCTTGTATATCAAAGAAATATGTATGCATTTATTTTAAAAGAAATGTGAGTCAAGTTGTGTGAAAAAAATATTTCATTTTAATCAACATAAAAATAATTGTTTGATTTTAATATTAATTTCTTAAAAAAATTAAACGTATCGTCTGGAATCAAATCTATGTGCCGAAATTGATCGGCAGAAGGAAGATCGCTCATACGATTCTACCACGGAGTGTTGGGCCTCCTTCCTATCGATCACAAAAAATTATCACCATTTCGCGTACCCTCGAGTACGCTCGCGTAAATAATGCTGCAAGAAACTTGTAATAGAAAAAAAGGAAAGCCGAATCAGAAGTTTCGTGCCCGAGCTTTTATCGTGACGCGTTTGAGAGTCGAATATTATGGAAATAAAGAACTGCTCCGCTGCACGATTGTGACGACTGCTTGTCATCCTCCCGATTTGCTGCAATAATTGCGACTAATAAAGACGCTGTTAGAAACGTGTGTTCATGTACGTGTAGGTGTGTATTAACGCGTGCGTGACCACGGCGTATCGCATATGACTATGACGAGAGATCACGAGGCGATTTTCACAAGCGGACGCATGTTGCTCTAAAGCCCATGACACATACAAAAACGTAAGACCATAAGACTTAAACAGTAAGGAAATCGTAACATTGGATTCGCTACTGGCCTTACGGTCTCTACCGTGATTGGCCAACTCGCTTACTGATTACGTCTTACGATCTTACGTTTTTGTATGTGCCATGGGCTTAAAATGGTACGGCGCGCATAAAAATCAAAGTCAACAAAGTAAGTTTATGATTTGATCAAAGCGTTAGTCATTCGATACTTCACATAGATTTTTGTGTTTCGAATTCTGTATAATATACTTGCCCAATGAAGTACAACCTGCGAACTACTTTGTTTAGGCTATCATCTTTTCTATCTCAACGTCATAGCGAATCTCGGCTCTTATACGCTCACCGAATAAATATTTGAGATGAAATATCGGCGCCCATCATTATAGAGTAAACTTGCCTCGCCAATGGTTCCAGCCATTTGATATTTATAACGTCCGGGATACTTGATATTTATCTTTCCCGTTATCATCTCGATAACAGCAGATATTATGATGTACGATCTCTATGTGTCATCAGATGAGGTCATTTACAATCCCACTGTTCATACTTTTGCGATTTATGATTTGAGAAAGTGAAACAAACTTGCCCCTCGTGTCTCATCGTCGATACCGTAGAATGCGCATTTGTGATTTTCCTGTGATTTATTTAACGCGTGCGGTTGCATATATGTGATCAGAATGTGCGTGTGTGATTCCTTTTTCTCGGTACATTTCTAAGGAGCCCGTATACGTTGTTTCGCACATATCTGCGACGTACACGTGAGAACGTACGTATATATAGATTTATATATACATATATTTCGATATATATATACCTATAGTTGTCTAGCACAGCTGTAAAGACCCTTATTCGCTAAAGAGACAAAAATTGATGATTCTTAAACGTACGTATTATTCATTTTTCATATAATATATATATCTATCTATATATATATTTTCATATATATATATTTCTTCATCTATTCATTTATTTCATATATCGAATTATTTAAACGAACTTTGACCGACGAGAAAATCGTTCCCTCACGTCCTGTGGCCACGTCAAGGCCGCGTGAAAGGATTCCGATGAACAACCGATATAATTACTATGATTAGTACGTAATAAAATTTTCCCTCTCCCCCTCGTCTCAATCGTTCTCTGACATCCACAATATGACACAATAACTTATCACTAGGACGATTCGTCCGGTCGTCTACCCGATTTTGCTCGAAGACGTCGTTCGATTGCACCGGCGCGATCTTCCTCAGATTCTAGAATTTCTCTCTCGCCCACTTCCGGTATGGAGTTTCCGGAGGGAGGACGCACGCGTCGTCCTCGCAGCTCAGCGCGAGTGGCGCACGTCGCGATGTTCTCCAAGATCGAATTTCTGTCTCAAGGTCGACGTCGATCTTGGCCGAGTTCTCCCAGTTCCGCTCGATTCAAAGTCGACCGGCGCCGAGGTGGAGGTCCGTGGGGAGGGTTGCGCACGTCTTCGCACCCCGAGGCAAAGCTCGAGGACAGAGTCTCACCTTCACTTTTCCCTCCCCCCGTCCCTTTTCTCTCCTATATCATCCTCCTCTCTTTGGAAGCCGGGTGAACGACCGGCGAAAACGAAAGGGCATCTTAACTACAAGAAAACTGTCGTTCTATATATATAAACTTACTATTTATCGATGATTCAAACCTTTTCTTTTCAAGTAATGACTCTACACTAAACTCTATTCATAATTCAACCATTCGTAACCTCTCTACTCCATCACGGAGTTCTTTCCCTCCCTCCCTCCCTCCCATCAACCCTGTCCTCCTAGACCCATACAAACGTACCACGCGAACGCCATTCGGATTATATATAAAATTCACAAACGCGGGATATATCGATTATTTAGTAAACCTTCGGGTAGTGAGGAAGGCAGATGTCTGGTCGATAATACCGCTTATCTCGAAAGAACGGTAAAATTATCGACAGGATCGCTATCCCCACTGGTACCCCAGTCGTCCATATAAAAAACACTGATATACAAAACGTTCACTAGATCGACACTGAACGTTGGCGAACGACGCGACGAGAAGAAATTTTCAACGGATAAGTTCATGCGTACGAGAAACGCACGAAATGCTGCAATTATGTCGGCTCGTGTAAAGCGCGAATACCTTTGTACTGCCTATCGTTAGCCTGAATGACTGTGAATTTTTTAGAGTTCCCAACGTTCGAGAAGACGCGTGGATTATTAGTGGATTATCTTTCGATTGCTGCGCAAATAGGTTTCCGGAAGGTTAAACATTCGGAATCACTGGTATGCTTATGTGAGGTTCCAGACTAACAGTTGTCGTTATGGAAGACCATAACGTGTCCATTTGCTGGATATGACTAGCTTCCTGAGATACAGGACATTCGTAATTGAAGTCAAACTCGCCTCTTAAGAAAAAACACTAAAAGAACGATTTTGTTAAAGTATCTAAAAATTTAAATAAATACAGATCTGAAAACAATTTTGTTGGATCGTCAAAATAATTATGTAGAAAAACTCAAGCATGATGAGCAATGCTACAAAAAGTTTAGACATTCTCGCAATCAGTTTGAGCGTCCTACATAATTATTTGGATGGTCCAAGAAAATTATTTTTAGATCTTTATCTATTATAGCTATAGCTAAGTTTTTAGATATTTCAGCAAAACCGTCCATTCAGTGAAGTAACACTGAATTTTAACAAAGTCAAATTTTCCCCTCTTCTCATTTATGTATCGCTCGTATTGCTGTTTCATTTTTGAACTGGATTGTCACGTATACATCTCATTTTTTTACCGCATTTCGGCATCAATTAACATAATGACGTACCGGTCAGTCTGATCAAGAAGATATCACAGTGCTGTGCTCTGCGTGGAGCATATCGTATAAGGAATCCCGCGAAGCGTCAAACTTCCCGACAATCTTCCGCGTATATCGTCTTTCAAAGATTGCCGTTTCTATCAAATCAAAAGATATGACACCGAGAATCACCGGGGGATATATTTGCCTGAATGTTGCTCTTCCATGATAATCCTTGGAAAATAGCGCTTTCCAACTTGTATCTTTGTACAATATATTTTTTTATGTCGGATCTTCGTGAATCGGGCTAACGTTGGGCGATTTTACAGCGCAATGGGTCGCAGCAGCGAGATATTGCCGATATATAGTTTCTCGTCGCGCGGTTCCACTCACGTTATTGGTGAAAATAGCAAAAGTACAAAATCGCTATAGTAATTATCCGAATAAAAAAGATTAGCCTAATGTAACATTAACCTTATCAACTACGGAGCTAAGTGCGCCGTCGTGCGTCGACGCACGATCGATGATAAAGACACCTGCTGTCCTCTTAGAAAAAAAACAGCAGCTTGCTACGGCATCGTCAGTAGCGAAAAAGGTATCCTTTTTCCCCTCCCCTCTCGCAACGATTCTTTTTGTCTGCCGTAAGTTCATCGCTTCTCTACGTTCCGAGGATCCTCCGATACCAGTTCGACTCGAAATTCGAATCCGACTGGGATGTTTGTCTCCACATATATTCGCGCACGAAATTATGGTAAAACAAAAAACTAAGGTGCTCCCCAAATCGCAATATTCTCGGCTTCGCCCCTAATCTATGCCTGCTGCTGACACGTCAACATGATCAGCCGTTGCCAAAAATTGCCTAAATTCTGTAGAAAGGCTCCTATATGGTCACTAGTTTTTCCTCACATTTTCAGTGAAATACTTTAGTTATATAGTTATTGACATTGAGATACTTTATATATTTATTAGTTCTAAATTATTAATAAACTTATATATGTATACAGAATTGTTATTCTGTATTATTACATATTTTCGTCATTTTTTCATTAACAATGTAAAGTAAATCAAGTAAAAGTAGAAAAATGTAAGATACGTTTTGTATCTAAAAGGACGTTTCGCACTTTAATATTCTCAAAATTCCCAAATTCGAAGATTCTTTAGTTTTCTATCATCAATGAATTTAATGAATGCGAGAAAATTAGCCAGGAAAGTGTGCGTTTAGGAAAATTTCGTAAACACGAGGAGCCTCTCTTTAAGTGATTCTATTTATTATGAATCCACGCAATGAAATAATTCTCGTGATCGCGTCAATCCGTGCAAAACCACGATAAATAATAACCGCGTGAATAACTTTGAAACTATATTGATCCTCTCAGTTCCTTTCTCGTTTTTGTTTGCGACAGGAACCGACAGGAGCGAGTAATAGCGCACATCGCTGATTCTTATTAAAAATTGAAAGCAGTAGGGAGTACAGGCGACACATCTATTATACACGCGTCATAAGTCATTAAGGAAAATTTCTCGTACTCGCTTCCGATCGTACGAGGAACTTGAAACGGCTCGAAACTGGCTGTCGCGTTAATTTTGAAGAGAATGTTTCACTTACCTTGAAAAATGCGCAAATGTGGTTTCTTTTATAAAGACCAATTTTGTGTCTCACGTCTCGACAAAACTTCGCACAGAGAAGCAAAGGAAATGTTTAAAACAGCGGTACTTCCATTTTCTAAATCCAGACTTCATCTCATTTTGAAAAGCGATAATTGAGCCCATTTCGATGCTTCCAACGTCGCTCGAAATTTTTATCGCACGTGCTGCGAAAAAGAAATTCAAGTTCCTTTCACCATCGATCGAGCAGCCGTACTTGCGCTTTTTAATCAGCATTGTCAAAGGTGGCGAATTCGATAAAAGTCAGACAAAGAACGACGAAAATATGAATTGGAAAACGAAACTTGGAAAAGAAGGAAGAAAGATAGAGGAAATACTAAAACGCTGCTTTTCCTTGGCAATTGCTCATTTGGCACTCTGAGAAAACGTACGATCGAGACGAAACAATCGGAGAAGGACTCAAACGAAATCGTCCTTGCCTCCGGCACTAAACGCGCGAGAAATTATTAATTAACGCGGGAGTTTAATTCATCGCGCACAGGAAACGCGTCAGGTGTTTGATTCGCCAATGTTGGTTGTCCAAGGAAGATTTTCTCAAACTGATACATACTCAAAGCGCTATCGCGCATTTTCCTGTGCATTATTTTTCAATTTTTTTAATTTTTTTTATTTCTCATCCCCCCTATTTTCTTATCTCATTCTCCTTCGGTTCTTCAATGAGTCGTGAACGAAACTGCGTGACTACTTTAAAAATTAATGAGTGAATATCATTTTATTTCTTGTGATCTCTTTCATATTATTTATTTCTTATGATACGTAAAAAAAAAGAAATTTACGTCTATTAGACATATAAACATTATTCTTTTTTCGTAGACAATCATACAAATAACTGAAAATGTTATGTACAAAAAGAAAATTTAAGTTTTTGAAAAATATTTTAAAAGATTACAATTAATGTTATTTATAAGCGTGTTATTTTCGTGCATTTCGAATTGATATATATAACACTGTGCAGCAAAATAAAATTCAAACAAATTTTCCTCAGTTTTTCACGTAGCATATATTGTTAAAAAAAAACATGCATCGCTTGTATGAAAACTGCATATTGTTGTCAATATTACATGTAAACAAAACGATACTTTTTGGTTTTATCAGATGTATGGCCGATGAAGACGAACGAAAATAAAAGTATGCTACGCAAAGGCGTGAAAAAGTAGCAACGCAGCTTCACGATCCTCATCGCGTTACGCATCACACACACGGGGCATTATATTATCTCCTAAATATACCTCCCGACATACGGATTAAGTATACTTTTTTTAAATCGAAGTAACGTAAAAAAGGTACACGATCGACTATACTACCTTGAGAACGGTGGGCGGTCTGTTTGTGGGACGGCCGCTATTGGTGGACAGCAACGACCAGCATCGCCAGAAAAAAAGGAGGTTCTCTTCCTCTCCAAATACACTTGTTTCTCTCCTACTTAATATATTATATACACTGGCTACTTCGAACGATCACGACTTTCCGCGAGAATCGTCCTATACTCGAGTGAGCGACGACGGGACGATCGGCGAAACGAGAGAACCGTGCACTTTCGTCTAGACGAAAAAACCGTGTGTACACAGCACGAGCGGTAGTATCAAACAATTGGTTTCTTCTCTCAATGAGTTTATTTTTACCTTTACGACCGGCGCGAATTTCGTCCGTCTCTTAGCAACTCTCCTGTCCTGAATCGCGGAAAGTCGCGACGCGCGCCCAATCGAATCAACGTTGAAAACCCATCGAATGAGTCGTATATCCTTAAACAAAATCAACATGGCCGCCATAAACGTATAAACTAATAAAATGTAAAAAAAACAACGTGTTCTCGATTATCTAAGTAACAAACGATAGTTATTTCTTCTTTCTTTCCCTCCCAATCTTTCCTAGAAAGTAGCCTTTTTCTTTTTTTTTCTTTATACACATTTATAATAAAGAGAATCGACCTTTCTCTCCGTGTCTAATATCGTTTCTCTCCGCCTAAATTTATTTCATGTATTTATTTTTCTTTAAAGTAATTTCAACTATATTACGAAACGGGAGACGGCGAAGCTGTCACACTTGTCACCCGAAGTTTCCGAAAGAAACCGTCCAAGAGATGATTCAGCTTGTAGCCCAAAACTTTTGTGCATAAATGATGAAACACACAGATTTCTCCAACAAAAAAATTTTACTAGTTAAAACTCACCTATATCAGAGAACTACGTTTGTAATGACACAATTGTCAAAACGTAGTGTATACTAATAAAAAAATTAATTGCCGTTTATTACAGCAAAACGCACGATAAATGCCTTAAGAAACTTAAAGAGCAACGTTATGGGGAAAATAAAGCATACTAATTTTGCAAGTCTCGCCTCGCGCATCGTCAAACGAAAACGTCAATAATTCGACGTCTCCCGCTTAAGATCAATCTAGACAAACAAATCTACAATTGACGTTAAAAAGAAACATCTTAAATTTTAGTACTACGGGAATGCGCCAAGGGGCTCGCGTGTACCGTCATCGTATAGAATAGATTGCTAAAAAAAAATGTTTCCTAAGGAATTACGAAGAAACAACATCAGTTGTCGACCGAAATAAAAGTGTTTGGCGAGTTAATAGGAATTAATACATCGGTGGATCCGGCCGACAACACGCGCCAGGAAGGATCGCGGCCCCCGTGCGCGTTCGCCATCATCAAGTCTCTTACAGGTCGCGAGGGGAGGATTCTAGAGCACGGTCGTCCGGAACAGGGAGATCGACTTGTAAAAGAGAGGATACAAGTCAGCCGCGGTCGTGCGCATACGGCGGCGGTTCGCTAAGTTCTCTAATGGTTACGGCCACTGGCTGTAGAGCTGAAACTGCTCGCGGGTGAAGCAGGCCGAGAGCGGTTTCACAAAGTGGGCGTCGACCGTCCTGCAGTGTGGGCAGCCAAAGACGCGGCTGTAATCCGAGTAGAAGTTCAGTCGCTGATGAGGGTAGATCAGGGGTTTCTGGCAGCTGTTGCACTGGAACGAAAATCGGACGACGGTGCGTTCATTTCGTGACGTGTTCCCTTCGTTGCGGGCGGGCGTAACGAATCGGCGCGATAGAACGAGCATACAACTTCGTCTAATTTGCTACGTATTGTAAGTTCGTATTATATTATATCCTACATTCACAAACTATGCAATAATTTATCTCGAAATCATTAATTTGAAGAAAAATAACAAAGAGGTAAAATAAATATCAATATAATACTGTCGTAATTTACATCAATATTAAATTGAGAGAAATAAGTAAGTGTAAAACAAATTGAAAGATAATTTAGAGTCTTCTATTCCAATAATTACAACTGTATAGATATTATAGCGTTAAAATTTAAAAAAAAAAAATTTTTTTACACAATATAAGAGCACACTACCCGCGATGCTGTATTAACACTCAAAGGGGATCAACTGTTTAAAGGGTCAAAGTTCGACTGGGTCGACTAGTCACGAATTTAGAGCTTACCTTGAGTCGCTCGCTGCAGCAGGGCATTGCAGCGAAGATATCGTAGCTGTACATGGTTCCGAGAACCAAGCTCGAGCCATCCCACGGCTGGGTGCAGAAACGACAGCGTACGGGCTGGCCGCCGCTGCCCTCCAAACAACTCATGCACACAGCTGACAAAAATTGTGTGCGACCTTCGACCTTCACCTGGAATAAAATATCAAAAAAACCGGACGTGCTATTGGAATCTTGCACATGGAAAGAACGATTTTGCTGAAGTATCTAAATATTTCGCTCGATACAGATCTAAAAATAATTTTATTGGACCATCAAATTAATTATGTAGGAATCCCAAACATGCTGAAAAATGCTGCAAAAATTTTGATATTATAGCAACTAGTTTGAACGTTTTATCTAATTACTTAAATGTCCAAAAAATTATTTTCAAATCTGTATCTAGTTACTATTTTTAGATACTTCAGCAAAACCATTCCATACAGAACCATGAAAACATTGCAGTTAGATCACGAAAAATGCGATAAAACATAAGTTGTGATCTTAGTGTTTCGCACAGTTTTGCCTGTAAATTTGTAATCAAATTGTTAATCAGTGTGCAGAAGTAATTTATACATGTTACAGACAGATACTGTGTATCTACTATTTAGTTTATCAAGACATTGTTGAAATGTTCTCCGAACACACATTCGATGTAAAAACGAAGTGTATGAAATAAAACATATCGATTAAATCTTCTTAATTAAATTGCTTTGGGATAGCTTTATTTGTGAATAAAATACTAAACTCATTAAAATTTTTATGTTACTTAATTAAATATTTGTCTTATTTTTTTCGATAAGAAAATCGATACTCATAAAATTTTGGTGAGAAACATACCTCAGCGCAAGCAGGCGAATGTTGTCTGGGTGACAAGAAGAATGTGCCGTCCACCAACGGATACCTGTCGAAAACCAGCATGGCAGCGCGACAAAGGACACATGTTACTCGAGACCACTGCAGAGCAGCCAATGTTGATAGAATGAAGCATCTGGTGTCGTCGTTGCCGTGGTTGCCCTCGTCTTCCATCTAAAAACAAACCGTTAACGAACACATCGTTACATTGTGTGGGCAATCGTGTTGAATAAACATATAATATATATAAAAATAAGAGAGACCATTCGTACTAGTAATAACTCGTGAATTTATCTTTCTCTACAATTTACGAGGAAAATAAAAGAAATACTGAAGAGAAGAATGAATTTTTCTTTCAAACTTATTACAAGTTTATATTCGAAGATCCGATGGGAAATATCTGGTATAGGTATCGTATCACGTCGGGCAGAAAACTCGAAGTTACTTTGAGCGGAAACGTTAGTCGATAACGACATCTTTTATCCCTTCGTTCGATCTCGTTTCCCCGTTTACTTGCGAGAGTAACAATAATTTGAATGCATAATTCCCCATCCGGTAACTTTTACGCGCGAAGTAATAATGTCGGCGACATCAACAAAGCTCATGCCCGCCCTGCTCGTTAAACCAGTTTCCGTGGGACGTTAGCCCTCGAGAGGAGAAAAATACACGGGCCTTGATACCGCTGCCGTAAAAAGGCCAAAGGCAATGGCGAGGGTTGAAGATTCGAAGGATGCAACGTGGCGTGGGTCTCGATAGTGGATAAACTAAGAAGGCGGTGACTGAGAAACGCCATAAAGATTTTCGTGATGAGCGAGAGGGGAATAGATGGAGCTGGATGGAAAAAGGATGCAATGGCGAAACATATTTCTGGATCAGGACACTAAAGGACGAAGAAGCATGGAAGCCTGGAAGCCCCGCGATGGAAGTTTTGGAAAATGCGCAATAGAGGTTCTCATGACCGGCGAAGGAAAAAAGGCAACGGGATAGACAACGAGATATTTCCAAGAAATCCGTCAGTGAATCTTAATAGTGTCTTGGAAAAAGTCTGTTGAAACAAACTCTTTCCGAGCTGGAGGTGAAATGAAAGAGCTGGTGAAACAGTCGTACCGTAGTAAAGGAAGGTTTTAATAACGAACTGAAGAAGAGAACAAAAATGGTAGTGAAAGAAGCACAAGTTAGAGAAACTGCAATAGAAAGGAAAATTGAAAGGTAGCCGCCTCGAAAGGGCCAGCGAAACGGCGAGGAAGGAAGCGGAAACGGGTGGCTTTGCCGTCGACGGAGAAAAACGTCAGTAGACGACATTTATAACCACAGTAAATAACTAGTCTTTCTACTTTGTTATTGTAAAGAAAAAATAGAATAGGTAATGAAAGAATGTTTGCAAAGTTGAGAAGTAGAGACAAGAATCTTCGTGTTATTTTACTATTAGATAACTTTTATAATTAATAAAGATAATATGACTATTCTAAAGCTGGTTTTTCATTTTCTGGTTAACTTATAATTTAGACTTAATTTCACTTAAACTGAGATGGTAATGTAAAAATTGTGTTTTTTTTTAATTATTATTTTTTTAGCTATGAACATTAAAAATTATCACTATTAATTAAACCATCAGTTTAATAATTAATCATAGCTAAAAATATTTTTATGTTATTATTAGGTATAATTACAGCTTAACTATAGAAAATGAAAAATTGGATTTAAATGAATAGTGATAAATAGCGGCAACATTAAAGCAACAAAATTGTTAATCATTTATCTTATTATTTTTTTTGTATCTAAATATATAGAGTGAGTATAAGTACAGATTGAGATAAATTTTTCTTATCTCCCTATTTATTTCAGAGGCTCAGGAACACGGTTTTGTTCTCGTCGATACGTGACGTTCTGTTCATCCTTAAGATTCTTCGAAGATGAAAGTATATTTCCAGACTACGCGGAGAAGGTTTTCGAGTACTTGGAGTGACCGCCCGAGGGGTATAAGTGAAGAGCAGGGAAAGA